GCACAGGAGAATGGGCCACAAGGAGAGGTACAAGTATACCGCACGAGGGATACAAGCTGACCAAAATGCTGGAAGTAGGGGAAGGGAAGGCAGAGTTCGAATCTTGGGAACTAACAGATACCCACAAAACCTGGGTAAAACCAGGGAGAATATTAGAGCAAAGGTTAATAATGGAACTCACGAACCTAAAAAAAGTTAGAGCTTGTACGCCCAAAAACTATCATAAAGGAAACCCACAACCTGAACAGGAGCAGAGGAAGGTATGGATCTATAGACCCGAACTAGGTATTGAAGAACTGGAAGTAGACCCAACTGAATGGGGATGGTATGTCCCAGACAGAAGGGGAAGGGTCAAAAAACTTACCCCTCTGTGCAATTATGAGGTAAGTGCGGGATACAGGCTATTGAATACCACCAAGGACCCTTCACCARTAATTAATGATAGATGGAAGAAAAAMRCAGGAGAAAACGYAGGCTGGACAGGTAGAATACCCTGGTCCASGTTTGCCACTATAAGGCCGGCAAGAATCAGTAGCCTGCAATGRCTCATAATTTACTGGGCGGTGCCRGTCAACCAATGGCTCAATAAAAGAAGACGACAAGAGGAGATCCAACCTCAAGCAGCATGGTGTAGAGTGTGCAATGAAGGTAGCGAAGAATCCTTGATACATTGTTTCTTACTCTGTCAAYGAGCCCAGGAACTATGGGAYAGAACCAAAAAGGGATGGAATAAGGTGACARGCCGTACTTTCCCTTCAGGAACAAATTACCTACTGGCGGGAAGAACTGAGGACACTGACATGGAAGAAGAGGAAATCCCCTTGGCCGAGCTGTGGAGGAGATCGACCCTTTGGGTAATATGGAAAGCAAGATGCAAAGGCACTCTGGACAACCAATTCCCAAGCATGGAGGAAAGATGGGCAGAAGTAAAACCCACGATACAAACGGAAATCAGAGCACGTTGGGCGAAAGAACAAAAAGAACAACAGAGGCTAACACATCAAGAAAAACGCGAATCAAGACAGAAGAGGTCTGGTTCTATGAGAACAGAATGGTAAAGATAGAGAAAGGAAACCTACAGTTCCAGAGCTGGGATTGACAAGTTAAGGGGGCTCACGCACATTCACCAAGCACCTCTTCTCGCCTCCTTTCCCTTAACAACCCTCTCAACTGCTCCTCCTGACTAACACCCCCGATCAGACTCGGAAGGCGGAAAGGATCTGGTCTGCAAGATTGGCCCGAAGATGAACAACAACGGAAAAAGGACAAGCGAAGATTAGGAGGAGTTGGTCGCTCAACGGCAAGACTACTGAAATTCCAGGAAGATCGGGTGTGCGGGAAAGACTGATGCAACTCAAATCCCGGAAAGGGGCTTTCGCCAACACCCAACGCTGGAGAAGGCAACCTTGACTTAAATTGTTGGCACAGGGGGGAAAAGGTAAACTCTCCAAGCAGCGCAGGCAACAGGGTAATTCGACGCATTGAAAGCTACGTGAGCCGGCAGAGGAAGAAGACCTGGAGAAATTCGGCGCAGAACCTTCGTAGAGAGGGTTTAGGGTTTAGGGCTTTAGGGTTTTTTTCTTAAACCAGTAATAAAAAGAGAGGTTTCGAGTGGGCTCTTTTCTCAAGGCCAGGGTCACAGGAATGGGGAGAAGTGGCTAGCTTGGCTGGCCTCTATAGTCAAAGGACCGATGGCCGAAGGTCAGGACTGCAGGCGGAAGGCAGAGGTCAAAACCACTCTACGGTTATCATAAGGGGGCAGGAAGGAGGAGAGGGAAGAACTTAGCATGAGAAGGTCAGTAGAAAGGCTCATACTACTAGTAAGATTGATATATGGCGGACCTCGGTTCGGGATTCAAGAGGCGAGAGGGGGACAGGGCAAACGGACAGTTATTACCCACGCTTGCAGGGAGCAATTGGCACTGGTCAAGAGCCCTACGGCCAGAAGGAGCAGAAGAGAAGACCGGGAGTTCAGAGCTTAGGGTCGAATGCAGTTAAGATGAGGGGGCAGGAAGAAGGAAAAGGAGCGGACCAGGCAGGTAAGCAGGTCTCTCTCTAGGAATAATGATGTCATCTGGCAGATCGGGACAACAGGTCTGAGAGGAGAGAGAGGGATAAGGCAAACTGACAGTCAATCCTCCAYTGCGGTGGAGCAATCAATGCTGTTCAGGGGTCCTTCGGCCGAACGGGAAATACACAGACTAGGCAGGGGTGAGAGGTGTTACATCCTTCCTCAGGGAAGTAATCAATGCCACCTGCTCGGGCCTCTCAGCCATAATGGGGAGGAGCGTGCGTGAGTCTTTTATGTATTCCATTTGACTTGCCGGGGGAATAGGAACCGGACTGTCGCTCCCCAGAATGGCAGGAGCCAGAACCCTGAGGTTCTG